TGTTGAAGGCTTGATCTCCCTGCAGTAGTGTTCAGTGGGGTCTCTGGAGGTGACTGTATCACGAAGGCTTTGGCCTCATGAATGAATTGTTTCCACTATAGCTTGATGGCCTGCTGGGTGGTGGTACAACCATAAGAGGTGGGCCTAGTTGAAGGTAGTAGATCATTTGGGGCATGAATTTGAGTGGAATATCCTGGTTTTGGACCCCTTTTGCTCCCTTTGCTTCCTGGCTGCCATAAGATAAGCAGCTGCACTCCAGCACAGGCTCTCTGCCACAATGTTCTGCCTCACCACAGTCCCTACTGAAAAGTGGCCTGAAACCTATGAAACTATGATCCAAAATAACCTTTCCTTCTTTGATCTTCTCAGGTACTTTGTCACAGTGACAGAAAGTGAACACGGTGGGTAAAGGCGTAACAGCATCCCATGAGAGTTCTTTCATGAAAGGACTAATTGATGTGCCAAATTTTTAAGAAATTGCTATATCCAACTTAACCTTCAGCAGTCATCGCACTCATCAATCAGCAGCCGTCAACATCTAGGCAAGACCCTCCACTATCAAAAGACAGACTCCCTGAAGGCTCAGATGATACTGGCATTTTTAAAATATTTATTTATTTTTTTAGTTCACGACAGACACAACATCTTTGTTTGTATGTGGTGTTGAGGATCGAACCCGGGCTGCACACAAGACAAGAGAGCTCGCAACCGCTTGAACCCCATCCCCAGCCCAATACTGGCATTTTTAAGTAATCAAGTATTTTTAAATTTAGGCATGTAGTTTTTTTTTTTTTTTAAACACCCAATGCTATCACACATTTAGTCTAGTATAAGCGTAAGTTTATATGGACTGGGAAACCAAAGTCCATGTAATTTGCAATATGGGCACATATTTACTTTATGCAGTGATCTAGAACCAAACATACAACATCTCTAAAGTTTGCCTGCAAACTTCTAACTTCCTTAAACTTCTGAGGATATTACTGCTTTGTCTTCTTACAACCAGTTTGGTTGACAAGAATCCTGAGGTCAATCTGATTATCAACTGCCTTTTTGTAGGCAATTTACTCCCGTCTCTAATAATTTTTAAGGATCTTCTCCTGAAGATCTTCTTTATCCTGAAAAAGATAAAGCTACAGACAGCAGGTCCTTGTTATGATTTTTCTCTTACTTATGCCACTTGGCTCTCAGCAGGCCCTTTCTACTAGGAATTTCTCAATCTACTTTGTTCCTCAGTGTGGGCTGTACTGACAAATGTATTATTTTCAGTTATTTTGGGAGAGGAAAAGTAGACAGTGCTTGTGACTTTTTTCATTCCTGGGGGGTGGGTGGGAAGGTTATTGGGAATTGAACCCAAGCGTGTTCTACCACTGAACTAAATTCTCCAGACCTTTAAAAATTTTTTATTTTGAAACAAGTCTCAAAAGGCTGCTCAGGCTGGACTGGAACTTGCGCTCCTCCTTCTGCAGCCTACTTAGTGGCTGGGATTACAGGAATGCAGCAGCATCCAGCTTTAGTACTCTACCTTGAAACCTGTTTCCTGGCTTTGTTTTATCAGCACAAAAGAAAACAGTATGGCTTGATGTACTTTTTCTCTTTCATCTCTCCTGCACAAGCATCCAGGTTTCAATCAGGGAAAAATTCTTAAAATTCTTCAAATGTACTACTTCTTCATTTCAAATACATATTTTAACAAGTGCTATTCTTTAAATTTTCCTCTCCTCACTTCGTCTATTCTGAAACTTTCTCACTCTTTTAATTTTAATCTCTCTATAAAATTGCTCCAGATCAACCTGGGATTCTGTCCATCACAAATGGGGAATCTTTCTCTGTCCCACTACTCTGACTTCCACATAGCACCTTTCCTGAACATTCACATCCTTTACAACTCACTAAGAATACAACAACGTGGTTTCAGTAAAATGGCCAGGTTTTAGAACATCATTGTTATTTAATTACAGAACATTACCACCATACTCCAAAGAAACTCTGTATCCAGTAACTCCTCATCACCCCCTGGCAACCACAAATCTAGTCTTCATGTATTTGTCCTTTCTGGAAAATTCATACGTACACAGAATCATACAGTATGTGGTCATGTGTGTCTGGCTTTTTTCATTTATCATAATGTCTCCAAAGTTCATCCACGTTGTACATGTAGCACTCCATTTTCACAGCTGAATGATGATTCCCTTGTATAAATATACCACATTTTCTTTACCAATCTATCAGTTAATGGGCACTGGGGTCATATCCATTTGGAGGCTATCATGTCCAAGGTTCTGAAGGAAAACATTTTCAGTTCTCCTGGGTATAAACCTAGGAATGGACTTGCTGAATGATATGGTTACTGCATGTTTAAATTTTTTGAGGAACTGCCAAATTGGTTTCCACAGCAACAGTATCATTTTTTACATTCCTATCAGCAATATTTGAGGATTCAAATTTCTCCACATTCTTATTTGCCATTTATTGATGATACCATCCCAGTAGTATCCTTGTAATTTGTGTTAAGCATATTTTAAAATTTTTTCATGGTACATAATAATGCATCATAGTGGGATTTGCACATGTGCATAACATAATTTGGTCAATTTCACTCCCCAGTTCCTCCTCTCCTTCCTCTTCAGATCCCCTTCCTCTACCCAACTCTTCTCCCTTCTACTTTCATGAGATCCCTTTTTATCCTTTTTTCTCTCTACAAATGAAAGAAAACATGGCTAGGGGGCTGAATTATAATGTTAGACCTTCCTTTCTCTTTCTCAGAAAACCCAATTATTATTATGCTTATTTTTAATAGATAAAATGATTCCAAAGCTTGAATATGAAGTTTTTAAAGAAAAAAACACCCTGTTATTAGAAATATACAATCTACTGTTTCTTATTCAAACCTCTGGTATTAGATATGGGGGCGGGGAAAGGGAGTTAGAGGGCAGGATGGTATGTCAGGAGCATGGTATCTGGAATCAGAATGACCCAGTTAGGAACAACATTTCATTTCCTTAACAGGTGTGCAACTTGAGGGATGCTGATAGT